ATGTGTTGATGAAATTAATGGATATCCCTCGTGATCGAGCCTTTGTCCTCGGGGTGCGGTTGATCTAAGGCGTATATCCACATCTTCATCTTGCCGACAAATAGATCCCGACGTCAACCATTTACAAAAGACACCCCCAACCTTTCTTGTTCGTCTCGTGCCCCCCCCTTTTGCCCACGTCGTATTGGCCATTTTGATGCGAAGCTTCGCCAAAGCGGTGAAAGGGGTCGACATCTTCACGCGAGAGGAGCTGGGGGACGCCTTCAGACGCGGCTACAAAAAGGTACAAGTAAAATGCCGGACCCTAGAAAACCTCGCCAACTTCAAGGACCTGGTGGCTCCCGTAACACGACGCATCCCAAACATCACCAACTTCCAAGCTTTCAAAATCTACAAGGAGGGGCCCTCGATGGTGGTGACGGTAAAGATGAAGATGCACCACGAGGACTGGTTAGGCTTCAGCGAAGATGGGAAGACGGTGGGGAGTGGGGACGGATTCAGCCCTTGGCGCCTGATGCACGCACATGCAGTGCACTTGGAGGCAACCCCGCCCTACGAGCTCAAACTGGTCCAGGATGAAATAATTCACCGGGTAGAGCTGCGCCAACAAGCCTCGTGGCAGAAGCTACCAGTCGCCTACGTCGGCGGTACGTTTTCGTTTTTTTCGCAATATCGTTCAACGAGAGTATCCTAATATGTTGCTTGCCGTACAAGAGCCCCGGTAATGACGTATCCTGAGTTCGTTGTTCGCCTTTGTCAATGACATGATGCTGCAAGAAACAAAGCTCTCAAGCGTTGCGAAACCGTTGTCCCGAACTACTACGCGCCTTAATGGATCCAGACCCGGAAAAGCAAAAGCGCGTCAAGCTGGATCACGCCGACAGCCTCAGAATATTAAGGACGACGGGAACCAAGGCATTCGACCTGGACACATCCTGGCTTCCTCTTCAGGTCTCCGGCGACGACTCTGAACCAGACCTGGACGACGGTGGCGACGAGGGGGGTCTCTCACACGGTCTCTCCGACGACGATGACGACAGCTCGTTCGGAGACGATCTCGATGAACGTCTACGGCAGCATCAACAAAGTTGCCGTGCCGCCCAGGGGGGGGGGGCGGCGGCTGCGGGATAAACAGACATGGGCACATGGCACAATGCACTCTTTCTCGTTCTTTCTGTCGGATGGAGCCCCTTTTCTTGTGGGAAAGGTCATCGACAAGCGCGAAGTTGACGGGCAGGAGGAGGTAGCTCTTCACTGGTACACCCCTAGGAAACGCCTGGTCGACAGCGCGGTGAATGTGTCCTTCGACACGTACGCCGGAGCGTCCTTCTCTCCTACCTACATAGCAGGGGACGCGACTTCCCGTGTGAACTCTCGTCGCAAGCTACTGCCGGACTCGTCGTGGGAGCCTGTGTCCGGGATCGTAGCGACGTCCTCCACTCTCATCTCGGGAGGGTCCAAAATTCCGGCACACGTCAAACAAGCCATTAAGACGGCAAACCAACTTACGGCCGCGGATGATGAGGATGGGGGTGGTGGCGGGTGCGACAATCCGGGCGGGGGGGGCAATATCGTCACCGAAGGAGGAAAGAAAGGCAAGGGGCGGCTGCGAACCGAACGAGAGGGGGGGGAGGAGGAGGAGGAGGAGGAGGAGGAGGAGGAGGAGGAGGAGGAGGAGGAGGAGGAGGAGGAGGAGGAGGAGGAGGACAACGACCTCAATAAGGAAGGCGATACCATGCAGCAGCCTGAGAAGAACATATCGAAGAACGACAGACTACATGGGGGTGGACAGGAGAGCGGAGTAGAGGCGGGGGGGGACACGCACCCCGGAAGCACTGTGCAGGTCCAGGGTGTGCGGACCAGCGCGCGTGGACATGTTCCACGTAGGGAGTGGTAGGAGAGAGAAGATCAAACATGTACAAAATTAAAACATGAAGAATCACCTTTTTTTTTGGGTGTTGTTGGTTGGATGGCTGAAGGTTGCAAACTTAGGTAGGTCCCAGTCAGTCGTTCATAGCCTCTCTCTCTGCGACAGCATTCGAAAGGGTGCGTAGCATTTGTTTCTGTGGGCCAGTAGTGTCCACATAAGGTAAGTAAGGTCTGATCCCGACCAAGGTGCCTTTGACATAAGGGTAACAGGACGAAGTGATGTTGTACTCACGGTTGTTGTAGTAATTGTGTTGATTGAGCACGGAAGCGGGGTGGTTGTCTCCGGTGAGCGTGGAAAAAATCCTGTTATTCGTGCGGAATGCATTGCTGCATTGCTGCCGTACATGCATGCATATGTATTTATATATGGATGGTCCTCGGCTCGACTGGGCCCACATCAATGTTCTGTGTGGGTTATGAGGTTTTAGCGGTCCACGTTGTTGGTTGATTGTGGCCAAAAACGAGGTCCACGTTGTTCGCTGGTTGTGGCCAAATAACGAGTTTTGAAATTACGTGACTTACCCTGGTTGATACCTTGCATGCGTGTGCTTTTGACAGCTCCGCCCACTATTCTACAAGAAGTAGTGGGGAGCACACACAAAAAAAAACTGAGTCCTGCTCACTTGGGGTCTTCTCCTAACCCAAACATCATCTCGACACCGTACTGTGCCCCAAGTGCAACACAAGTTCACATTTGGTGCCGTCTACAAACGGCCTACTACATGGCGAGACACACGGGGAAGAAGAAGCTTGGCAAATCTCACAAGTGATTCTCGCATTCATCTCGTTGCCAGTGGCATCCCTAACCGAAAGGCTCCGCGTCCAGCTTTCGGAGTTATCACTTCGGGACGAAAACGCGCCGATGGCGGCGGACACATGAAATACACATCGTTAACCATTTTCGCTACTACCACCGCACGGTGGTTCTACCTGTCGTCCATGCCATCTGCCGACCAATTCCAAAAAAAATAAAACCTTTCTACTTCTCCACCCGCTAGGGCTACGTGCACAGACTACGCTGCCGGACTTGACAATAACAGCAGCAAGCTAGTACCTATAGCTAGCTGTCCTCGCCTAAGCCAAGCGTCACCTCCATTCAACCGCACGCCATCATGACGCGGTCTCAAGCGTCCTCTCAACTTTCCCACTCTGCCGCCCCTCTCTATTGTCCTCTATCCTCCAATAACAACCGTCGGTGGAAGCCACGCCCCCTTTGCTGATCGGTGGAAGCCACGCCCCCCTTGCCGATCATGTGGGAGACAACGGGCCGACAACGTATATTTAGGTTAGACGGGGGGGGACGAGTGGTGCATGGCCAAACAAATCACACACAGTGAATGGACAAGGACATAGCAAATACCTACTGGTTGGTGTAGTGGCTCATAGACTCGATAAATTCTCCCGAACGAGACCGGAAAATCAAAGAAGGTGAGCAATACTGCACGCAACATGCCATCTTGTTTCAGTCTCACCTCATGTGCAATGAACGACAGGCAGCGAAGGAAACTTTCTTACACATAAGCACAACACATCCGTTATGCGAGAGAAGGAGCGAAAGCCAAATGTGTGTGCCCGCGCGTGTGAGAGAGAGGGAGGGAGGAGCACATGTACATGGATGGAACAACAGGTACACTAAGACTCACAGATCGAGAGAGAGGGAGAGAGAAAGAGAGAGCAAGAGAGAGAGAGGGGGGGGGGGGGGGGGGGGGGGGGGGGGAAAAAAAAAACCC